AAAAAAATTCTGATCATTATCAGTCAAAGGCAGTTTGATCAAGCATCTAATAAAACTCTTTATCACTTTAGCATATGTAGCCTGGAGGAATCGACCTTTATTAACAAACGTAGCTCTTGTCAGTTCAGAACAGAGGCTGATTAGTCACTTCTAATTCTTGGTTACCCTAAGATCATGTCTGTTCGAAAGGGAAATGCCTAATCATTTTTGTCCCCAAGTTTCAAGGAGCTATCAGGATTCCTAAAAATGCCATAGTTCAGATTGCTCCCTGTAATTAGCATCCAAAGACACTGCTATCCTATTAGCATACCTGGCCATTGCATTATTTTATAGTTTATCTGATTATCTACTGTTGTGTAACAAACCACCCTAGAACCTAAAGGCATAAAGCAAGCAGTACTGTGTGTCAGCAGTTTGAGCAGGGCACAGTGGGGGTGGCTTGCCTACTCCAGTGTCTGAGCCCTAGTTGGGGTGGCTCAAATAGTTGATGATGTCTAGGACAACTTGACTGGATTCTGGCTGACAGTTGAATTTCTTGGCTTTTCTTTATCTGGCATCTCCTGGGATGTAATGTCCAAGGTGGCTTTCTCACTCACGTATCTGGTACTTGGAGTAGGATGGCTAGAGTGGCTGGGGGCTGGCTGGACATCTTTCTCTTTCCACATGGCCTCTCTACTTGGCTAGTGGGGACTTCTCAGCATGATGGTCTTAGGATAGAATTCTTATCTGGTGGCTGGCTTCCCCTGGAGGGAGCACTCCAAGAGCCTGAAATGGAAGTTGCTTTATGACCTTGCCTGGGAAGTCGTGCAGCCAAAACTTGGGCCTCATTGTGTTGGATACACAGAGCCAGACCACATTCAGTTGGGGGATGACTATACAAGAGTGTACATACTGGGAGGCTTGATTCATTGGGAGAGAAGGGGAAGATCACCTGTGGAGACTAACTACTACGTAATCTAAGTATCAGTTCCATCATATATAAATTATCCAAATGTGTTCGTTAATGTCGTGAGAAACACTTTATTCTTTATCGCCCACTTGGATAGTCTATAGGGTGCAAAAAGTCTGTGAGGAGTTGGCTGTATAATTGAAACAATATAGTTGTCCTTCAGTGTCTGGGGGGGATTGTTTCCAGGACCCCCCTCCTTTCCCCCATCTGAGGTTACCAAAATTCGCGGATGCTCAAATCCCTTACAAAATGGTATAGTATGTGCTTATAACCTATGCACATCCTTCTGTATACTTTACCTCTAGAGTACTTATAGTACCTAATACAATATAGATGCTATGTAAATAGTTGCCTGTGCTTGGCAAATTTAAGTTTTGCTTTTTGGAATTTTCTGGGAGTTTTTTTGTTTTTTTTCGATCCATGGTTGGTTGAATCTGTGGATGAGGAACCTGTGGATACAGAGAGCTGATTGTGTTTATTTTTGTTTAGGCCAATATTTCTCAAGTTTGTTTGATTCTCAGAACCTCTTAGCATCCCATAGGATAAGTGTTTTCAGGTTCTGGTTGCCTTACAGAATCGTGTTACTAAGAAAAATATGTTTCTAAAATATGGTACAATCTATCTTTTGTTTACACTTGAGATTTACAATTTGGAATCATTCATACACTTCAATAAGATGTTTGATAATCTCAAGGTGAGGGTAGAAGAGGGGCAGACAGAGACAATGGGAGTAAAAGAAGGAGGCAGAATGACTTAAGTTTGTCTGGGTCTTGAGTTAACTTGGGTCACTTGTTCAGGCTTTACTACATATGTCTCTTTTGGAATTATTTTGCATAATTATTCTTTGATATTTGTCTTATACTTCTCTAGTACTCCTATGGTACATACTCTTGTAGAATAGTTTTGGGATAGATTTCTAAAATTTTAATTTTAATTGGAATTTAAATTTATTTGATTTTGAGAATTTAATGACTGCTTTTGAAATAATGTGAGGCTCCCTTCAGAATTAGAACTGAAATCACTGTATTAGAAAAGGGATAGATAGGAGGTATGATGATGGTTTCATTTAATTTGAAGATTCCTTACGGAAGCGAGACATAGGAGAAAAGCAGTGCAGTATAGAGCATAAGTGTTAGAATCAGGGAGACTTCTACCTCTGCTATTTACCAGCTATAGGATCTTGGGCTACTACTAAAATTTAATCTTTCTGAGCCTAGGTTTCCTCATCTTGAACATAAATGATATAAGAATACCTACTATTAGAGGTAGTTTTGAGGATTCTGTGATGTAATATGATTAAAGTACTTGTAATAGATCTTTAGTAATAGTAATTGCTGTTATTATGATGACTATGTTGTTCAAAGCACTTAGAGGAGGTGAACAATGATCAAGGACTCAAATATGTTACTATGTTCCAGATTGTTTAGAAGGTTTTGGAATTGAGCATTGTATAAATATTCAATACCTTTGTATTCAAGGCTCTGTGTTGTATACCATAGAGGAAACAAAGGAGAATTGAATGCATTTCTTGCCCTCAAAGAATTCATAATCTGATAGGCGAGTTAAGAAGTATTATACTCAACGTTAATAAGAAAGAGAGGTGCTAGAAATGGGTATTAGGTGGTCTTGAAGACTGAGGAGGCTTTTTCTAGATGGAGATGACAGGAAGGTCATGCTAGGTTAAAAAGGAAGCGTGATTCTCATTTTATAATAGGATGTATTTGGTGAGTGGTGAGCAATCTGGTGTATCTGGACTATTTTACTCATTTTAGAAAATGTAACATAAGATAGGTTTGAATTGGTTCATTAAGAATTAATGAAGATACCTTTAGTCCTCAGTTCAATGAAAAATTAAGATTTGATTTGAGTGCTCACAGATTGCATTTTTTAGTCCGTGTTTGGTTTAAGTTCTTGGTACTCACTACCTAGGTCTGGATTATCAGCTCTGAACTCCTGTGGTTTCTTTACTGGGAATTTTGGATTATAGAAGTGAATTATTTTTTCAGGATTGTATCCTGACTACTTTGTGTTTACAACAGAGTCCTAATGGGCAAAACTACTGACATTTAAGTTTATTTTCTATCTTTCATCTTTAAAAAGACTTCAGCATATATAATTGAAGAAGAACTAAAGGAACAGCTAAGGAAGAAACAAGAAGCTCTGAAGCATTTTCAGAGACAAGTCAAACGCCGAGTAAATCAACAAATTAGGCTGAGAAAGAAACAAGAGCTTCAGAAGTCTTACGAAGCAGTAAGTTGAAAAGCGAGCGTAAGTGAAAACTGAATGGAAAGTGTGTTTGTTATGAGATGTGCTATTAGGCGGTAACAGAATCACCTTCTTTTGGTTCTAGACTTTGTATACAACCTGACTTACTAGTGAGGGCAGTATATTTGTATATAGAGAAGCTGTTGTTTGTTTTCTCTGTTGTTCTGACTCCCTCTTTTGCTTTCACCAAATAGTTATAAACAATGTTGGAGTTTGGGATTGGGTTTTGAGTTCTGGCTTTGCTACCTACTAGCTATGTGACCTTGGGCTAATTACTTAAATCTTCTGGACTATAGTTTATTTATCTGTGAAATAGGGATATGATACTTGTCTTGCAGTGTTGTTGTGAGCATTAGATAACATAGATTAGTAGCACACAGTAGATGCCTGGTAAATGTTAGTTTCTTTGCTAGCTAAAGCTTTTGACTCCCCTCAACCCCGGTTTTAAATCTTTTGGGCTGATTATAGGCATTATTTGATTGCACTGACATAGAGTGGAGTCTCACTAGAGGAATCTCACTCTTTCTTACTTCGTGTAGGCAGAAAAAGAAGGCTCTATAGCCATGCACTCTTCCGATCCATTCCACTTAACTCCTAAAAGAACAAGCGTTTTTTCAAATACTTTGAATGCTGCTGTTGGAAGTGCTGGGTTACCTCCTTCCCAGATGCTTGAGGATGGAATAGAAGATAGAGAGAATCAGAATGAACTATTCCAACAACAAGCCCAGGCTGTAAGTACATATTCATTTTATGTCTTCTTTTCCCCCCAAGGTATATTAAACATACCTAGGCTACAATGTAGAGATTAGGTGGTGTCACATTTGACTTCACTTTTTATCACCTCCTTTTTTTGTTTTTACCTTTGTAAAGTGGGAATAGTGGGATGATCTTTATTTTTATATATATTTTAAATTTATATTTATTGGTAAGACACTTCAGAATCATCTAAAGAAAGGTGCCAAAATGTAAGAGTTCGAAACTTATTAGAAAGAGCTTTAGGTCAAAGAATATATGCCAATTATACTGAAATTGTATTGTGAGTAAGTTACTCTTAGTTTGTAGCATATGGACAAAAATGATTCCTAACCTCTATTGCAAAAAGGTTCAGTACATAATGGGGCTTTCATTCATTATTTTTGTTTCTTTTTCTGTCTTTCAATCCTGTTATCACAATAAATACATCTATAGGTCAAGTAATAATATAATAAACATATTCAGAATTCTTAATGTAACTTTTTAGTGATTCATTTTGTACACTTGATATTTAAAAATTAACCACCATGAGTAGACTCATCCACTCAAATCACTTGACGCCATCCAGTCAGCTCCCCCTTAGTGTACCTAAGCTTTTGTCCAGTTGATCATGTTCTTTAACTCTGCTTTGGGAATAATTCTTCATCTTATCACTTTAAATTGTATTCCCAAAACAAAAGTGTGGAAATGATGCTTATGTGAAAATAAAAGTTGTATAATTGCTAACATGCTTGGTCATAAGTATGAAGCAAATCTGATTGTGCTTTTAGTATAAGTAGGGAAAGCTTTATAAGCACGTGTTATATTGAAATACTTTTAAAAAAGATTTTTTCTTTGTCCCAAACTATGATTTTTTCCTTGTCATTGTTTGTAGTGATCATTTTTATGATCATTTTCAATTTACTTTTTTAAGATTTGAACAATTTGTTGAGCAGATATTTATTGAGCCAGGCGCTGCATAAAATACAAAGGATAGAACATTGACTAAGACAGAACAGTCCTTGTTTTCATGGTGCTTGTAGCTGTAAATCCCATTGTAGTGAGGATTTTACTTCATCTGTAATACGTACATAGACCACATCAACCCACAGATATTTGTATACTGTGTTTGTTAAACAATGTAGGCGAAATGTGAGATAGGACCCTTTGTGGATTTATATTTTCAAGTAGAGGTACAAAGCTAATAAACCCCCAATCTATTAGATAATATAGAGATATTTGCTGTATTTAGTGATAAATTTGTGCCATGGGAGTTAAAATTTTTTGAATTCCAAGGAAATAGTTGGGGAAGAATTCCTGGAAGAGGTGAAATTGAGCTGTATATTTTGAGTTGATAGACTGAATTGATTTCAAGAGAATTTTGAGATAGAAAGACCGGTTGAAAGTCTAGACTATGTCATGACCTTAGTATATTTGCTCTAAAGTGATAGGACCTTTCTTAATTGATAGTTTATAGAGGAGAGAATAACATAAAATGAGGTTAGGTAGGAGGAAATCAGGTTATGAAAAGCCTTAAATGTTACCAAAATTTAAAAACTTTTTATACCCTGTTTTTTCTTAAAAGGAGATGAACTACTGAAGAATGTTCAGTGACTTAAAACTACTTTAAGCCTGTAAACTTTTCGCCATACAATACCACAACAATAGATGCTAAAGTCTTTAATCTTGCAGTTTCTAGTGCAGTTTCTACCCACTAGATGTCACTAAGAACCAGACAATGAGATGGTGTTCAGGCACTAACTGGTTTATCTAGAACTGGTTGAGTAAACAGTGAAAGTAATTCACTTAGTGAATGTTAGTGGACTTTTTAATTTTCTTGTATCTTGAAGTGATAGAAACAGAATCTTGGAGCTGAAGGGATTTTACAAGTTAATTTGATATATTACAATATAATGATTTGACATCTGGGGTATACTTCAAAATAGTAAAAGGGTGAGGTGAAGTAGGGGCTTATAGATAGAACAGGATTATCCAGGAATTGATAATGTTAAAGTTGGTTAATGTGTATGTGGGGGTTCATTACAGAATTCTGTCTACTTCCATATGATTGAGATTTCTAATATGTTTGAATTTATTTACATTTTAAATTAAATGTTAAAAAAGAAAAAACATCTAGTCTAATCTTTCTCTAAGAAATTCTTTTCATAATGTCTCAAATATGTATCTGGCCATCCAGTTTCTGCTATAACTCTTATTGTTGAGCAACTCATTACTTTTTAGATTGTTTATTTCATTTTTAGAGGGCTTGAAATTATTAGAAGTGTTTTTTCAATATATTGATTCAAATCTTCCTCCTATAGTTTTAGCCATTGGGCCCAATTTTGCACTTTCAAGTAATAGAGAATAAATACCATGGTTATCTCTAAGAACACTTCAAGTATTTGATTATAGCTATCATTTTTCTCTGTTTGAATTTCTACATTCTTAGTGCCTTCAGCCATTTTTCATAATGTGATTTCCAGATTACAATCTTGGTTGTTTATTTCTGAATGCTATTTAGTTTTTCCGTGCTCTTTTCAATATGACCCTCAAAACTGAACACAGTGCTGTGCTCCAAATGTGATTTTGCTAGGACATTTGTTATTCTGCATCTTCACCCGATCTTTTACCTATATAATATTTGATATTACTTACTTGTTCTAGGATCAGATAACATTGGACACCTTAAGTTAGGAACGATAATCAAAGAAACTGGAAGAAATTTCAAGTGTTCCCATAAAATAGAACTATCCACCGACCGCCCCCACCCCCACCCCCCCTCCCTGCACCACCACTTTTTGTGAGGATTGACATTTATCTCTAAGGATGGAGTTTCTGTGATGTCTCCTGATGCCTTCATTTTGCTGGAGAATTGAAGAACAACTGGTCATTATTTCATTCTCACCATATAATGAGTTTTTATTTATCTATAGACTAGGAAGTTTGCCACCATTTCTTTTCAGTATGTTATATCCAAACTTTTTACTTGTTTCTCACTAAATCTTTTACCATTATGTTTTTTATTTTTATTCTCTCTTTATAATGCAGGTTTTTCAGCTTTTTCAAACTTGGAAATAACAATTTTGGTAGTTAAGTAAAGGTTTAAGTAATGTAAAATAACCTACTAAATTTTCTGTAATCTATCATTGAAAAAAAATTAGTGTTTCAGTTAGGCTCTTTTGACTGTAAGAATTCACGCTAGAGGAAAGTTTATTTTAAGAATATTCATGGGGTAATAAAGACTTAATCAGAAATGCACACAAATCCAAACTCCCTTAAGGAATCTGCAGTCCAAGAGTTTTTCTTGATCTGAGGTGGCTCCAATGATCCCAACAGCATGGGATCTTTGATCTTCGCATTATTAATAATTTAATCATTAACTTGATTGACTCAGTTGTTCTCATAGGGTCCCCAACCTTCCCTGTTTGCCTGAGTTTGAGGGGTTTCCCAGGACAAGAGACTTTCAGTGCTAAACTGGGACAGGTTCAGGCAAACTGGGAGAACTGGTCACCCTGTGTCTACATGTGTGCTTCTCTCTTATTTGCTTATTTTTCTACTATTAACTGGTATTCTCATCATCACAGCTCTAGAACTTTGAGACTCCTTTAGCCTCTTCTCTCCAGCTTAGGATCTTTGAGTCCAGTTCCTGTCTCTGACTTTCCTAGTTGATTATGTAAGATAAGGAATCTTTATTAGCCCATCCTGCCTTTTTTGCATAAGGTCTAGGTTACTGACCAGCCTCTAGCTTGGTTTGTCTACTTAATGATAAAAGAAAGCTAATATAGTTGATATTTGTTGTATTGGTGTTCATGGGCTATACTGAGGGGCTAGTGTGATTGAAATTTTAATTGTATGGTATTTTTATGGCTATAGAAAAGTCTAAAACACTTAAAAATCAATATGTTATCTTTTGCAAATGAACTGTATTGTATGTGGGGAGAATTCAACTTTAGGTAGATTTTTATGGCATTAACCAAGATATAAAATTGATATTAGGCCTCCATGGCAATAAAATAGGTAAAATTCTATAAATGTTAGATCTCATCTATATTCTTTTCCCATGATCTATGTGTTATTACTACATTGTTTCATTTATGTAATAACATATAAATTCTATTTTTCTAATCCCTAATTGAATAAATTAAAAAGAACTGAAAAAAATATGAACAATGAGTAGCAAACAATGTTGTTGTAGATATCTGTATTTGTCAAATTTTATTCTATATATTAGCTTGAAGTTTTAAATTTTATTTTAATATATGATCATTGTTTTGCTTTAGATTTTAAGATTTAAGTCTCAAAATTTGTTTATATAATACATTTTTATTTTTATCAGTCAGAACTCCCTTTGCTTATCGATAGTTATATTCACTAGGTTTTCTATGTAATTATGAATAAGTTATTTTCATCAGGGAAATTTTTAAGTCACCAAGACTTAATCTCTAACTGATGGAGATTCACTGTCAGTCTTTGTTAGTAACAACAGCTACAAAAGAATGAAAATTGTGTGTAAGTTTCTAGTGTATAGAAAAGACTTTTGGTCAAATTTTTTGTTTTGGGTAGGTACAACATATACACATACATATATTTAAACTTGCACATACAAATGCATATATATAGATATACACATTCACATACACTCACAAATATGTGTAGTGATCACCATTATCTTACAATAGGAGAAATATATTTATATGCCTGTTCATTTTACATAATTTGATTTGTAACATCCCCCTATCTTCTGTGTTTTTGTTTAATGCTTATTAACATTAACTTTGGTCTTTGTAATAGTTTCCTGTGACTGCTGTAACAAATTACCCCAAACTTAGTGGCTTAAAATGACAGAAACTTTTTCTCTCACAGTTGTAGATGCCAGAAATCCAAAATCAGTTTCACTTAACCAAGATCAAGGTGTCTGCAGGGATACTCTACTTCCACAGAGTCTAGGGAGAATTTGTTCCTTGACTCTTCCGGATAATGTTCCTTGACTATTCCAGCT